GGGGGGCGGTGGCGCGGCCCGGCCCCGGCTGTCAGCGCCGCCCGAGCCGGGCTCCGAGCCGGGCTCCGCGCCGCACGGACGGCTGAGCCCCCGCGCTGCCATGGAGCCGCAGGCACGCGGTGAGTCTGGTCGGGACAGAGCCCTCCGGGATGGCGCGGGGGTCCCGCCGGGGGCTGCGCTCACCCCTCGGGAAGGGCCAAGCCGGCGTGGGGGGACAGCGCGAATTGGGGCGGGGGGTTCCCGGGGCGGGGAGAGCCCGAGGGGAGCCGCGGTGCCAGGCACGGGCCGGTGAGAGGAGCGCGGTGAGCGGTGCCCGTGAGCAGCTCCCCCGGAGCTGCCCGGCTCCCACCGCCTGTGGCGGCCCCGCGCCCGGCCGAGGAGCGCGGCATGACCCGGCCCGTCCTCCATCCCGAGCCGGCATCCCGGTGGCTTTCCTTCTCGTTGGGATGTTGGCGGCTGCTTTCTCCTCCTGCTAGCTTTAGACGTTTCGCGGTCAGGTAGCTGGCTGGCAACTCTGTATTAAGTTAGTCCCGTGAGGGTTTGTTGGTTGGTTGAAGTATTTTTTTGTGTCCTGCCCCGCTGGCCGTCCGCCTCCCGGTCGGGCTCCAGCCGCTGTTTCCTGGGGATAAACGGGACGGTGCGAGCCCGAGTCGCCCCGTCCTGGAGGCTCCCGTCTCCAGCAGCAGGGACCCTGGGATTCGGCTCCCAGCAGAGCTCTGGATCCGCCGGGAGCCGCTTAAAATTGGATCCGCTAAAATATTTCTGCAGCTTTGCAAACGCGGCATTCATTCACTTAAAGTGAGCTTTTTCCATTGTAACAGTTGTGACTTGCTTAGCTGTTCGTATCTGGGTAAACTTAATTGCCCTCCAAAGAACAGAAGAAACTTTTCATGAGCGTTATCAATTACGTTTGGGTCAACTTAAGGGATTTAGCATGCACAGGTCTTGCTCACCTTTATAATCTTGTTTCTGTTTTGTAAAGAACCTGATGGCTTTGTCACACAGGACTRAACAGGTGGGAGAAATACTTAACGCAAAATAGGAATGTTTAATGCCATCTATGAAACAGGCAGATGAAATAAGCAGGAGACATGTGCTCCTTGAAACTAACATAAAAATAGGCTTCCAGAATAGTGAAAATCTGCCTTAAACAAATACACTTAAAAGAGCAAACGTTGGCTGCAAATACATTTGCATGTAAAAGAATATAGTGGCAAATTTGAGTTCATGATGCTTGTGAATGAGAGCCCTTCTGGCAAGTGTTGTATATGTGCTGTCATATGGCTGAAGCTGCCTGGCAAAATAAATAGATGTGTGGCTCAGTTCACTGGGGTTTTAGAAGTCAGTATTAAGATTACAGCATCCGACTCTTATCCAAACTATTTTTCTGAAAACATYTGTATAGCTACCATGATGGGAACTCCTGTTCTTTGAACAGGAACTTTATATTGTACAGAATTTGGATCATTTCTTGTTTTGTAGAACTGATGGAAAACAGTATTGGATTCTGATTAGCTGGATAGTGGTATAGGTACATGTGATTTTTTTTACCTGCTCTAACTAGTAAGATGAGTAAATATGTTCTCAGTGTGTATTAAAAAGTCAGGTCAATAAATGTGTTTTATTAATGTATATTCAAGTCAGCAACTATTACTTCCCCAAGTCTTGAATAAATTCTTCTTCTGGATAAGTTTCTATTGGCTAGTGAGGGAATGTAAAATTTTACCCCTTGAGTCACTTTTTTCTTAAGTTTCTCACCTGTGTGTTTTATTTCTGTGGTCTCTCAAAACAGTCTCTCTTTACTTAAAAAAAAAATGCTCAGATAAGCTAGCAGTACCATCTAAGAATTTTGTGGTAGGTATTTGCATGCCAGCAAACCTTTGTTTCAAAATACCCTCTCTTTCCTTCTAGACTTAATTTAGTGCATGCTACTGCAGTTATGGAGACTTGCTGGCAAGAAGAATTCAACCTGTATGTATCTAATGCTTTCAAATTCAATTAAGTGCATCTAAGCACTGGCCAGAAATCTGAATTTTTCAATTCCACTTACACATTTTGCAGGGCACAGTTATAGCAGCTTACTAATGAAACAGCAGCAATCTTTGCTTGAAAGAGTGCTCTACTTCCAGTATCTGCTTGAGCAGTAGGAGAAATATATATACATCTGAATGAATTTATTAATTGAGTAAAAAAAATTCTCAGATGCCCACAGAGAAATGAATCCTGAACAGTTTGTTCCAGTGTGCTCTGCTGGGGTATTGTATTCCAGCTGAAAAGACAAAGTAAAAACTGTGCATTTAAAAGCACTGTTGAATTTCTCATGCTGAACACTTTAAAAGATTTTCTTCAAAAAGGCTTCTCTACATAATTGTGTTGTTTGTGCCATTTTATATTGTCCTTAGGGCAGGCTGTGCCTGAGTAGAGCAATTTCATGTTCAAGAAATACATGCAAGTATAAAATAGATTTATTCAAAGCAGAAAAATTATTTTTGTCAGCATTTTTACATTACAGCATGAGTCAACTTTATAAATCTTAATGCAACTGTGGACAAAAGGAAAGTATCACATGTAAATGTATCATGGTCCTGGGTAGAGGTCACAGCTAAGCATCATGAGTTTCTGGGTGGTTCAAGGCACAACAGAGTATCTGTCCATGCACCAAAGACTGTGAAAATGAAATTCTTGACACTAACTTTAAAGTAGTAGAGAGAGTTCGTGGACTGAAAAGGATTTGCTGTTATACTTTAACATACTGAATATGTCTGGCAGCATTCATGTGAATGAAATAGATGAGACAGTCAACCAAACAGAGGGTAGTAGTAATTAATGCTGAAATTCTTTTCTAAAGAAATAACCATATGTTGCATGTAAACAAATTCATATGTGTAATAAAAATAATAAATTTTACTTTACATAAATTTAATCTTTAAGCCTCTGGGTGCTTTTCTCTTTGATTATTCTTTGCTCTTAATRGAAGAGCTAATCTGAGAACACACCAGCTATACTTGTGCTAGATGCTAAAAATTTCATAAGAGCATATTTGTTTTCCTTCCTATGCCTGTCAGTCATTTCTTAAGTGAAAAGTTTGGAATTCTGAAGAACAGTGTTTCTCTCTGAAACAGAGGAAGATCAGAACTGTGAATTTGCCTCTTATCATACTCGTTCTACTCCAGGTCCAGATCACGAGACTATCCTGTGTGGTCCTGCTTTCTAGTTTAAAACTGTGAATGTAATGTAATAATGACAGTACCATGGATGTCTGTCTCTCATCTGAAAACCCCATGTGACTTCTGAACACTGGAGCTTTGCTCATAACACATTTCTCTCCTTTTACAATAATTCTCCATTTCTTCATGTATCCAGATATAATTWTACCTTCTTCTTTCCCTGTCACACCCTCTCTTGACTCTTCCTCTGATAAAGCTTTGATGTGCAGTTTTCTGCTCTGTTTTTACCTACACAGGTAGCTCAACCAGCTGCTTGCACTCCTGGCCTCTGAAATGGTTTTTGAGGCATTTCCCTGTCCTAGAAATTCTTCTTAGAGCTGTTCCAGCCAGGTGTTCTGCATCCTCAGGCAGTTGTTCATTGTTGCTGTAATAGCTTGCCATGGCTACACTCACCCCTGTCAGGTATCACGGTGAGAGCTGTGGTTGGTTCAGATGTTGCWTGGTCCTTCTCAAGTGTCTTGCAGKCCTGCAGCACCTTGCTTCTTCCCTCTGCTGACTGCCGCTGGCATGCTCCAGGGATGCTCAAGGCAGCTGCATCTGGCCTSTGATGTTACAGAGCAGAGAGGCAGCACCTTGGCTGTGCCATTTGACTGGAGCTTATGATCACAGGAGTATCACTGGAAATCACAGCATTAGCCCAGTGCCCTCCCTGCCACAGTGGCATCTGCCATCTCAGAGTCAGGTGGTCTGAGGTGTCCATATGGGAGGCAGTGGTGAGGAGGACTTGTGTTACCTGTGATATGGTGTACAATGCTTGCCAAAATGGCATTGACAGCTTGGTCAGCATTCTGTCTCCTTGCTAACTGCTCATGTGGCTACTAACCCAGATAGGAACATGCCTAGAGTCAGTCTTGCAGTAGGAATGTGGGGGTAGGGAACACATGGTGATGTTCTCACTGCAGCAACAGYGCTGTGGCTATCACACCAAAGCAGKGTCTTGCTGGAGAGGGCAGCATCTTCCCTATCTTTGTGTTTGAGGCTGGTGCTTTACCAAGGAGCACTGACTGGTTTGTTCTGTGTTCATCTATTCCCTAAGGACAGAGTAAAACTACTGTTTTGGAGCTGATTTAGTGTAATTGTTTTGTGAGAAGTAMCTGCTCACATGTGCTTTTTGAGGCATCAGGATTCACTCTAGTTATCCAGGGGTTTGTGCTGTCTCTGTACTGCTCTCTGGAGCTCACCATTGCCCTGGTATGGGAAACAGGAGAGAGGACTCCACAAAGGGCCAGSAGGATATTGCAGTAATTCAACCAAATGGTGATAATCTGCTTATTTCACTGCACGATGGAAATTTCAGCTGCTGTGTCAGTAAGACCACATGAAGAGGAGGTCAAGTGAAAAAGACAGGGTTGTAATTCATAATAGGATTCTTAAAGGTTTAACTAGAGTGCACAAAGCTTGAAAGAATAGCTCTTTCATGGTTTTAATAATACAAGGAGGGAAAACGCATGTGTGGAATGAGTTATTCAGTATATCAGATTTTAAGCAAGTAAATGTCTGAAATCAAATGCAGTGCCTCTCTTTTACACTTTTGAACCTGTATTCTTTACAACTTCATGACTCTTGTCACAGGTTGAAATTCAGTTTGCTAAGACTGATAAAAATTGAGTGGCTTCATACTACACCTGAGAACTGAAAATATCATCCTATAGAATTTGGAAATGAGTTATAAAAGAAATACCTCCTCTAAAATCTAGGGACAGTCTTATGGAGCTTTTTAACTTTAATAGTTTTGTAGCCATGAGGATATAAAATGCAGAACATGYAAAACAAAGACATCCAACCCTAAACCATGTTTTAAAAGCCTTGCTCATTTTTTTTCTCCCTTATCTTCTTATTTTCACAGCGCTGCTGGTSTGTATCCTACAGGACAGCGCAAGCATAATCTAATT